GTCATTTTACCAGCTCATCCACAGCTTGCTCCCACATAAGGCCCCGAGACCTCAACATGGTCTGATACAGCTGACAGAGTCAGGTGGCTCTTCAGGCAGTATGAGACGAAAGAAGCAAGGCAATCGCTGGTGTCCATGTTAAGGTAAGGCTAACCTCAAAAGTTAGACCATTCCTTTATGTTCACTGCCTCAGAAACAAAGTGGAGAGTCAAGAGTCTGCGGCTGAAACGCCCCTGACTCAGCCACATTGCTAAAGGGAATAACATTAGTGTTATCTGCGCCCATTTGAGGCATACCAGTGTAACAGTTATGACAATGCTCATACCTGAATGAGAATTTCCACTGGTATGCTGCCCACTACTATGTTTGTATCAGCACTGGCAGATACGTACATAAATAATATTGTATATGTGCAGTTTCCATAACAGTGCATTCCTAATCATGATATTACATTTTATGGTGCGCCCTAGCCAGACACTATGGCAGCGCTATGCCAGTCGACATTGTAATACCAGTTCAGTGCTAGCTGCTATCACTGGAAGCAAAGAATAAGCACATGGCTATTATCACTCCATCTCCCACACATACACTCGCTGAACTCCAGGTGTGGGACGTTCATGACAATGTTGGGACATCCTGGGTTAATATCATAATCATCACTTCTTGTAAACTTGAGCCACTGCATACCTACCTGCTGTAAGAGGGGAGGGCAGCTTAATCTATGCTGCGGTGACATGGGTTGGCATGGATTAGAGGCATCCACCCATGTAATACACAAGTACACCGCCTTGTCCGCACCAGAGGATCAACAGCTCTGTGACATAACAAACATTTAGCAAACTGGCTATTCTAGAAGAGCTGCAAGCCTGCTTTTACAGACAAGAACATAGGCCAGCTATCAAAGCTTAGTTTCTCTGAAAAAGGCTGTGCTGGTCACAGTTCTGAAAGGCTCTGATACAGTGCATACTGAGCTAAACGATGATAACTGAGTAAGTGTTAAGAGGATTTTTGGGATGTCGCCAGTACCCCCTCAGAAAATCCAGCAGCTAGACGTAACAGCTTCCTCTCACACTGGTGTCCAAGTCTAACACTGCCAAGCCCTCTACCTATGACGGGACACAGCTCAAACTAGGTGTCTCCACCATCTGCCATCTTCCTGCAGTTGGAAAATTAATCAATTTTAGTGCCATGCATTAAAAGATAAAGTTAAGCAAACTCTTCTGTCCTCCCTTAATGTTTGGTTCTGACCGCGTGTACACTATCAAACAAATAACCTTAATCAATTATCAGCTATAAATCTTAAGCACTGATTATGGGTGTGATTAACAGCCCTTCTGTATCCTTGAACTACAGACCCTGTATCAGATCTGAACAGTGACTGGTAGGGATGCACAATAATGTCTGATTTATTAGCAGATATTCATCTCTCTCTCTCTCTCTCTCTCTCTCTCTGCACAAAAATATAACAGCATGCAGAAGAATACACTTGAATACATTTTGTTAATCAAAAACAGGCTTGGCATATCGGTAGCTGTGTTTATTTGTTAACAGAGGTGGTCTCTTCAAGTGAGCTAACAGAGCTAACAAGTGTAATGCTGGACGCTGATGAGGGCTTGCTGCCTTCTACTCGATGTCTTTTCTCCTCGGTTGACGATGTGCCAACATGTTTGTCATAGCAAAATATTTTCACTGTTTCTGGACCTATCTAACATCAGCTAGAGAAGTTAAACTGTGATTTCTTTATAAAATAATTCATCTTTCATCATGTCAAGTGGGTATTCATTCCAAATTGGTCTTGGTTTGCAAACCCTCATGATAAATCAACCTTTTTTCATGCTAGCTTTCTCACAAATGACTTAAGCAGCATAACCAATTCAAGGAAGACTAATAACAGTAAAATATCTCTACCGTTGCACATCTGAACTCACGTCACATCCCCGTCACAGACAGACCCTAGAGCAGTCCAGCAGGGAAAGCCAAGCAGGGTGAAAATTCTCTTAAGCACCTAATCTTTCCCTGGCTACTTAAAGCTTATGAAAGCGAGAGGTGACAAATGTAGCTGGGTCACAGCTTACGTTTGCCCCTGCTGTGCTTTATGGAAGGCTGGTGGTCACTGGCTAGAAATGACTCAGCATCACTGACACAAAATGGTGGAGCAAAACTGATTTGTTGTGAGCTTTTTAACACTAAAATAACTGAAATGCTTTGCAAAACACAATTTCCTTCACACAGATCAGAGGGATGAATGCTGCGGTGCCTGGAGTGAAAATTTCACAAAGTGTACTTTGATGAAAAGCTTGGGATCACGTCTCCATTTCTCACTCTCTCTCCGGTTTTCACAAAATGATGAGTAATCTGGCTGCTCCAGGAGTCCCCCATAACGATCTGAATGACCTTGCTGTAACAGTGTGTAGGCCGATGCTGAAGAGACCCCCACGGGAAGCCATGCAACGTGCAGATGCCACTAGATGCCCTGCATGCTAAGTAGACAGGATTGGGTTTTTTGAAACGTGTGCTTACTGCTATAATTTACCTAATACGCTGCCTTAACAGACATAGGGTGCACTTGTGTATGTATTTATCGTTGACATTAGATGCGGGTATCGCTGGTTACCATGAAGAAGCACGAACGCTGTGATTCAGGGAATGATCAGTGACGGTAAGTAAACCTGACACATCAGTTGGGAATGTACAAACATAACGTTGCCATATTATATAAAACCATAAGTACCCTGCACATCCCATCTCACACGGGGCAAATGACGTAAATCACCGACAACCACACGTGTAAACGGACTATAAACACTGCATCAGGCTCACGATATCAGCCATACCACAACACAACTAACGTAGGGTTAATTAAATCTATATAACACCGGTCAGATCGATGCAGATTTCGTTACTCGTTACTCACTTAGGTTAACTTACTCCTCATATCTCCTCGCGTGTTCAACAGCGGTATCACGAACTACAGCTTGACAACCATCATAGTTACACACCTAAACAGACGGAAGCCAAAGCTCTGCCACTAAGAAATTATATAATTTTGTCTGTATCGAAAACAAAACAGTTTCAACCCAATCTTATACAGTATAACTGTACACGCAGCGCCGCGGCAACGCACTGCGGACAAGTTAGCAAGCTGGCTAGGTCCATTAAATTAATGAAAGCCAACAAAACATTTCCTCTCAGTCAGCTACCGATAACCTTGCCAAGTCCACACACACTAAAAGACATGAATCAGAATACTGACACTGTGACAGCTCTTCAGTATTACCCGAGAAACCGCTGCTGCCACACAACGTTAGCTGAAAGACAAGTCAAGTGAGCTAAACCTCGCTGCTACGCTGCTAAGCTAAGCTGAGAAGAGTTCCGAGTCTCCTCACACAATGACCTGCTAGCTCGGCTAACACGCACGGCTGTTTTCAGAGTTCACTCAAGCGACTCCTGTAAAATTCCTCCAGGGCGGGGGTTCATGGTCTCGACCTTACCTTTTTCATTCTCGGAGCCTCCGCGACCGTGCCATCGCGATTAACGAACGCTTCGCCGCCGTTCTGCTGCGGATCCGGCCGCTTCATCGCGGACGCCTGGGGGATCTTCGCGGTGTTCGGCGCCGAGCTCAGCGGACTCGGGTCTCCCTTCACCGCGGGCTCCACTGTCGGAGACGTAGCCGAGGCGTTAAGGTCAGTGTTGGACAAGCCTTTCTCGTCCGATTTGGGTGCCACTGGCGACACGGCGGACAGTTCTTTATTAGGAACGTCTTTTAATTCGACCTCGGCCATTTTCGCTGCCACAACCTGAACTGACATCGCTGCAATCCAGTTCGTTTTCACCCAATACAAGCGAGAGCGACACAAACGGATACGACTGGCTGAACGATTAACCGCAGAGGATTGTGGTACATGTAGTCTTCAAAACTAAGGGCAATATAAATAAGTACAACCACAAGAAAAAACCCTGATACAGATTGTTCACAATTATATTTTGTCAAACAACACGTGTAATATTATAAATATATAACAAATATAAACTACTATTTTATTTGTTCTAGAAAACAGTCCCTCAACTGAAAGATTGCTCATACAACCTTCTCATGAGCAAGTAGGTCGACATGATTCACATGAAAAGTTTTGTTTCCCATGTTTGCAATAATAGTATTATAGGGCCTATATCCTACACATTTTCCATCAAGGTTCAGCTTATGACATTTGTGTGGTTTGATGCACCAAAAACTGTCATAATTATTTTTTCCAATTTTACATATTCAGTTTTCCATGATACAGGCCCTCTAAGGAAAAAAAAACAGATTTGCAAAACATAATTGCACAAACCAGGTAAGCACTGTTTCTTACATTTGGAACAATGGAGATTTAGAGGGGTTACACTGGGGCCAACATGCACGCAGTACAGGCTTTTTTGTTTGGCTTTTGGCTTCTGGATAGGATTACATCCTAAAATATTGCTGTTTCTGGGATTCATTCCAACTCAAAAGTCAAAACCTGATAACTTTTGAAAAAAAAGTACCTGAAATGGTCTTCAAACCATTCCTTCACTTTTATAAGGTAACATACCTTAAACTGTATGCTTCTGAAAGAAAGTTAATCTCAATAACTTTATACACACCTACTATATAATTACACAAATTATCCTGACAAGTGACACTTATAATTGCATTTATCATCAGTTACTTTATATCCTATTTAGACAAAAGGATTGATAAAGTAGCACAAAAATCTAACACAATTATCTATTAACAAAAATCCTTTAGTTACATCCATCGTAACAAACATTTACAATCATTAAATGTTACCCAGTACAAATAACAAATGTCCATACAGCAAGCTTTAAAATTTGAATACTATACTGCCACCAAGTGGTAAAACACAGTAATGCAGCTTCAGCTATACAGAAAAACCTTTTACGACTGTTAAACACACCATCCAGACTGGACAAGCAGAATAAAAGTGGACAAAACAGAAAATTCTGAAAAGTTTGTTTCATTTATTACAGTTCATTTCAGACAAAAATGTTCCTGTCCCTTCTCCAAAGAAGAACTGAAGATTATACAAAATGTGTCTTTCTGGCAATTGAAATCCAAAAAGGTGTTGGCAGCCCTGCAAGAGTTTACAGAAGCCCCTTACTGAAGGTGAGAACACAGAAGAGTGTAAGTAACAATCAAGCAGTAAAAGGTACTTCAACAAACACAAGAAGAGGTGTGTAGAACATGTCATCCCTTTAAAGGGCCCACACAATAGAAAATTTTCCTCACTCTTTCGTAATAAAGTCGATTCAGTATGTAAACATTTTAAAGTATCATCTCCTCAGTCAATATATGGAAACTAAGCTGCGAGATCAACCTGTTTTAAATTCAGTGTTTGTGCGTTAAGAAAAACCAAATCATTTACATCCATCTTCCTATTCAGCATATAGAAATTTAGTTCCACCTTTTCACATTGGAGTTACAAGGAGTATTTCAGCCCAGACTACTTTTTGAATAAGGCAATGGAAAATGAAGGAGAAAAAAAGCAGTACATGGGCCCTTAAAGGGGTAACATGATAAAGGTCTTATTGGTATCAAAATGCATCATTTGGCACTGTTTTAAAATGTAAAACATGTATTAACTATTGCATTTGTATTCTGTAACTAAAACTAAAAAACTATTTAAAAAAACACCCTTGCAAGTCTCAATTATATACACAGCAAAAGGATCTTCAGGGTGATTAAAATAATTGCCCCCTCTGACAACCTCTACTCTAAGCAAAACTGTGGTTAGCCAGTTGAATACTTTGGTAAACAATCAAATCCTGATCAGACCAAAGATTTTCAATGCTGGTGTACGAGACTGATCACTTACAGCAAAAAGAGCTGCTCTCTTGTCACTGCTGATGGTAGTATAACCAGCAACCAGTGAAGGCATTGAGGATTACCTATGTTTCCACAATAAATTAATGATTTTGGTTACTGTTGGGTGTTGTGTATTCAGTGGTTTCCATTTATGTAATATGAGGTTTGTGTTAAGGATACGGGCAGAAATGTAGACCGGAAAAAGCAAAAAAAAATTTTGGGAAAATGCTTGCTTAGAGCATGGAACCCACAACACACAACTAGCTAAAGCCTGAATAAGCATTTTATATGTATATATATTAAAACAGTACACCACTTTACACACATTCATAACCAAAAAGGTCTATAGCTTTGTATCAAACAAAGCCAAACAACATGCAGATTATGTACAAAGGCAGAAAAGAGCCACACTGTGTGTTGACTCACACTGTAATCTAAGCTGTTAACAGTTTCCTGTGTGTCGTAGCTTAAAAACATTCTTTACAGAAAATAGTTTCAGTGCCTCATGCTGGGCTACAGTTAAAGTTCCTGGTTAAGGAACCAAAGCACTGTGCATGTTTCTCTGAAGCATGCAACATCACTGCAAATTCTAAGAGCAAAAATATCTAATATCAAATTAGTAATGACATACAGACTTGTGCAATGTATTGCTCTTCAAGTGACCATTTCAGTGTTTGATTTACTTTGTAGTAACATGGCGATATCAATCCCCAAATATCCAAAGAATGTTCACTCCCGAAAGCCCCAGATTGACTCTCCTGTAGAGAAAAATAAAAATTCCATTCATTTTCTTGTCCAGCCTTGTGAACTGTAATCATTTAGTTCAAAGCCAAAAACAAACCATTTAGTTCAAGGAACTTCACAATTTTGAGCACTGAGAAAATTACTCAAGTCATATCAACTGCTGAGAAAAATTTAAATTAGCACTCACCCCAGCATCCCAGACTCCTTGGTTTTGATGATGAAAAGGAACATAAGGACCGTGTGGAACAAGTTATTTCTGCCCTGTGAACACCACCATGCCAAGTATGAGTCAGAATAATTCAGGTAATAATCCATGGCTGCAATTTTAGGCACAGGGAGAGGTGCAGTGAGAACACACTATACCTTGGGCAGGCTGTAGATATGGCCCTGATAGATAAGCTGATAGTGAGGTGGGTTGGTGCTGCTTTGATGGATGCAGAAGAGGTTCTCGTTGGAAAGATCTGTTTGAACCACATGCACACATGGACATCTTGGGCTTAAAAATAATGTAACACTAAGTAATGATGTACTATAAGACTGTGTATGGCCTTACCTGGTTTGTGTGGTGTCTGGATAAAATGCTGAGATGTAAAGGTTTTCCCATCTGGGTACTTTGGATGGGGAGGAAGCCTGGAGTCCAGGTATGTACACAGAATATGCATAAGGATCTGCGAAAAGAAAAGGGATCATTTAGTTTCGCCAGTTTTGACAGCTGTTGACAAACAAATGAACTATGGTTCGCAAAAATTCTTATTCTTAAATTAACATTTGACTCTTTACAGATGCTCATATCGTTTTTGCAGCACACATTGGATTTTATCACATGGACTGCAGAAAGTACTTTTGAAAGGTCATCAGTGATCTGACTGACTGGTTTAATCATGCATCAGTTTGAATTCAATCATAAAGAAGTAGAGCTCAAGCAGGGTTTATTTTTGTTACTATTTGTTTGTGAACCAAACCAAATGAAAATGATGTCACAAACTTTGGTGCAGACTTCAATAAATGAATGAGGTGTGAAAACAGCCTAAAGTTCACACTACAATTCCAATTCAAATATGAGGTGCGTTGAGCATAAGACAGGCAAAAATTCCAAAAATTAATCACTGACTGCTTTTACACGCTTACTACTGACTAACTACTGACTATGCACGTGTCAGGCAGCATTGCCAGATTGGACGAGTTCCTGCCACATTTGGTGGATTTTGGTTGGATTTTGCTGGGGAGAAAGTGCTTTGACAGGTGGACCAAATTATAGCTTATTTAGCATTATTTTGGCTTCAGGTTTTAAAAAAAGTATACAAAATTAATAAACTGCATTTCTTAATAATGTAGTTGAAATTTGAATAGGCCTAACATCTCCCCATATCCAATCAGTTATCAAAACTCCTGTTAGGAAGAGTCACTCCTGCTGAGAAGTTACTCCTGTTGAGAAGAGGCTGTTGGCCCCATTTTATCGCTTGCAGATGACATCAGCGGACAACGTATCCTATGTATTTTTGATGTAACGGATGTGCTTTTGGGCCTAACAAGGAATAGATTATCAGGTTGACTCCACATTCCTTCATATACTCCAAAAACACCGATGAGTTTGTGTAAGCTCTGCAAGTTATGGAAATAAGATATATATCAAATATAATCACTGTATTTAAATTATTTATAGGTTTCTTTGTCCAGGTTACCAAAAATATGTAAAAAGCTTTTGGTTTTCTTAGGAGTAATAAACATTTGTTTTAAAGGCCAACAGTGGTACGTAGTGACAAATACTTACCTGTAAAATTTTCAAAGGTAAGACATTAGCGGTTAGCATACCCAGAAGCTTATTATTGATGGCATGTTGGTTTAATGTTGTCTTATTTCATATCATGTTTAAAATGACTGTTTTAATATGCACTAGTTTGGATGGTTTTCATGTATTTAGGTGGGTTTTGAACATTTTTTGGCTGGAAACTTTAGAAGCAATCTGGTAACCTTGGCGTTTGGGCAGGCATGTCAAACTGGCTTCTTTCTGGGCCATAACTCTGCGAGATTAAAGTTTTCCCTCATCTAATGCTCTGAATTGAGTTCACCGGGGCTGAGCTAATGAGTTGATAAGTTGAATCAGGTGAGTTTAATGAGGCAGAACACTGAAGTCCGCAGTGCTGTGGCTCATCAGAACAGGAGTCTGACAAGCTTTAGGGCGAGCAAAAATGGGGCTCACAGTAACTTGCTGTAATTATCATCTGTGATTCCCATATCTGTCCAAAAACAATTAAATTTCCAGTTCATCAGCGAATAATGTATCTATCATGTCGGGCATCCCTAGTGAAATGTCTCCCAAGACTCTTCCACTTAATCCTTCTTGCCTGGCACACACAGTACACAGATACGAAAGGAAAAAAAACAAGAACATTCTTCATCCAAAAAGGATTATGAAACTCACAGCTGAGTCAGTTGGGAGGTCTGTGTCCCACTTCCGGTTCTTCAGGTTCCCACCTCCATTCCAGCGAAAGGAGCTCATGCAGCCACTGTGGGCCAGTTCTGGAACAGAAGGACATTGACAATTCTGAAGTATATGTAAGTTGTGTTTGACCAACCACTGACCAACTGCATGTTTCCTTACAAAGAGAGCATCTTTAGCCCTGTATAACTAGATTAAGTGCAGTGGAGTACGTAGAACACTGAATAAAAATCACTGTATTCGTGGTTTTTGATGGCTGTTTTTAAATGTGGTAAGCGTCTTGTATCTGTGTCAGAATATCATGATACATATTGTGCATTGCGAAATTGCCTTGAAATATTGTGACTCCTATATTATTTATACAGTATAGTATTATATAAATGCATAATTTTCTTTCTGAAAAATGTACAATTTTGCAACTCAGATATCAATAAACATTTTTTTTCGGCTTGTTGACATTGATAAAAATGTCACAGACAATTTCCATGTCCATAGCCTACATCGACAAAACCTCTAAGGCATTAAAATGCTTTTCACTAAAATCCTTTGGATACTATCCTACAAACATAAAACCTTCTCAGACAGGTATTTTATAAAAATGGTGGTTACAAGCAACCCACCGAAACTCATTACAACACATTAGGTGCTGAGATCTAAAGATAATCACCCTTTATCCTCTCTACCAGATACTCTTGGTTGGGTGTGATGTCCAGGTACTGCACAATGGCATTAAGAGTGGGGATCGCAGAAGCTTTGACTACAGCAGCCTGTTTGAGACTGCTAATACTGGCCTCTGAAAACAGAGAAAAAAAAATAAACAGTAAATTTTAAAAACCAATAAAAAAAAGCTATGGAAAATAACTGTGTTGTGTGAGAACATTACCTCCTATCTGGAGTTCAGGACAGCCCATTCTCCTCAGCTGGCTATTGGTAGATTCTACCTCCTTCACTAGATGCACCAGAATGGTGTCATTTATCCACTGTTACGTGGGAGAAAAGCACAATTGACTTAGATGTTCAATGTGAAAAGGTACTCCATTTGGAAAATTCATAGCAATACATTACCAAATGCAAACAATAAAAGGTGCAGAAACTTGCAGAAATCAAACTCACATTTCTTAGTTTGGCAGTCCAGCTGTCAATGCTGTCAGTAACCACGCGACTGGTTGTGATGCGCGCCCAGACCTGAATAACAAGACAACAACTACGATTTCAGTTTGACATACAGACACACACACACACACACACACACACACACACACACACACACACACACACCTAAATGAAGACAGGCTGAACTCACTAGCCTTAAAAACTGACAAAGCCTTAAAAACTGACAAAGATACAACATTGTATCGAAAACATACCTGTGAGTCAGCACAGGCTAGTTAGGCTAATATGAACTGCATCTAACAATTAAAATGCTTTTTAGACTAGACACACACTGGCTGTCCTGGCTGTAGTATACATTAGGTATGGGCATTTCTGGTGTGTTTATATCCGCATTTAGTTTTTAAGAATAGTATTTCAGTATAACAACCGGTATAATGGGGAACTCCAATATTTAAAAAAAAAAGAACTTTGCATATTTGATCCCCTAAGATGTAAACAATGGTCTGATGTGAAATGCACCATTCTAGAGAAACATATCGAGAATTATTTACACTGGTAGTGATGAGAACCACATGTCTGAAGAATTTAAAGCCTTTAAAAGCTACACAGAAGCTCACAGAAAGTTATTACAAAAATGGTGGTAAATAACCACTCAGGCACTAGCTGATGCCTGAGAAACTTCTCTGATAGTTCTGAGAAGGTTTGGCCTAACAAATATTTTCACAGCGGGGACAAACGTATAAGCTGTTTTAAGACAAAGTAATCCACACAAAAACATACTTTTCCAGATTTACCACAATTTTACCATAAACATTACACCGTAAAAACTTGTGTAGACATCTGTAGGTTCACTGGTCATTTCGGATAGTAAATAAAATGGCTATATTTGCATAGTAGACATTGCAACCTTGCAGCTTCCTTTCACTACCACTGTAAAGAAATCTGAGTTGATAAGTTTCTCTACAATGAACCATTTCACATCAAATCACTCAATACATCACCAACTGAACTATCATGATGAAATGCCCCTTTAAGAAAACAAATGCTTTGAGTATAAATGTCTGTACATTCAAATCTGATAAATGCTTGCTTGCCAGATAAACAGCTTTACATAGTAGCTTATTTGTTAAAAAAAACACTGAAGTTAGAATAAATACAAATAAACATTAACTTAACCATTTCCAAAACTCTCCAGTGTTTAAGTAAAAATCGTACTAACTGTGGAGATAAACAGCTTTAAACAAGTTTTATGTCCACCTAAGACTTTTACACAGTACTGTATGTATGAGTGCTTATCAATCAAAACACACCTGTGCAGGCTGTGGGAAAAGTGAGATTAAAAAATGCTCAGCTTACCTCCTCAGCAGCTTGTTTAGAACCCAGCTCAGTTTCATCTTTGTGAGCAGAGGGAGCCTGGGAGCGACAGGCCGGCTGGTACTGAAACTTACGCAAGCTCTGGGCATAGTCTCCCACTGAACGGTTGTAATTCCAGAACGTTGGACTATGTGATGGAGATGCCGACTCAGGACTCCCTGATGAAGAGTCAAACACATATCTCCAAAATTAGCTTTAACATTGGTAGCATCAGGTCAGACAGTTAAAGAAACAGTATTATTTATGTTGTTTCTGATAACACGACATATTGTTATCTACAAAAATGCAAGTACACGGCACAGCTGTCTTGAAGCCTAATATTTGCTCATATTTTTGTCCATTCGGATAGCTACTGTCATAAACCACACAAGCAAATTGCATTTGATATTAATTAACAAGCAAACACAGTTTGAGGCAAGTGTTTGAAGATTTAAGCAGGTAGTTTACACTGTGCAAAGTTTCTATTACTTGTTAGCTACACTGGCCTTGTAGCTTCAGCGTAAAACTATAAAAGAAATTTTATAGACTTAGAAAATTAAACGTCTTGACTTTTTTCTTTTTTACAAAGCATTTCTTTAACTGAAAGCTATCCATTACAGAGTGTCTGACACAACTGGGGCTTTTACCAAGTTGACTCCGATGGCTCTTCTCCTCTTCTGAGCGAAGAAACTTCTCCAAGCTTTTAAGGTCATCCATGTAATCTTCCTTCCCTCCTGGAGAACTGAAAACAGAGGGGGAGGTCCGGTAGCGTGCCCGCAGGCTGGTGCCCTCCACTGGACCCAGGCTACTGGGATAAGGAGAGGAGCTGGTAGATGGACTGTAGTTCAGTACCTAAAGAGACAAAGGTGCATGTATGTATTTCAATACAAATTCCAGCCCAATGATAATATTTCTGAATAAATCAGAGAAATCAACATAATTTTCATGTGCACACACTTTGCCAAAGGCCATGGCTGGAGAAAAGGGTCCCCCACTGCCTGGTGAGGAGGGGTTGCTCAGAGGCGGGCTGTATCCAGACACACAGCTGGGGGAGAACTTTGGGCTCGAGCTGGGGGGCCGTGCTGGACTAAAACTAAGCACATTCTGTCCCTGCAGGGGAGATGACTGGGGAGGTACTGGAGGTTCTTTCTTCTCTGGCTTCTGGGGTGGGGAGGCCTGAATTCCTGCACACAACAACATGACAAGCTCAATTTTCTGTAGTCCGAAAAGAGTGCAATGTTTAAAGGGTCTATGTCATACATTTTTCTTATATCTGTCTTTGCTTAACATCTGCTCATAATGTTTGCATGGCTTAATATAGTCAATGTGTTTTTCACTACCATTTTCCAAACTTATTATATCCCTTAGAATTAAATGGGCTGTTTTTGTTACTGTGCCATTAAGAAGTGTAAGTAAATGACCATCTACTGATTGGCTGCCTTGTAGTGTGCCTCACTCAAAAAGCAGTCCAGCCTGAAACATATAAGGTTCTTATGACATCAAAATAAGCAAACAGGAATAACGTAGTGTACACTGAATAGGTTGATATATGTAAATGGGTTGGTTTTCTTGACATCAAAAAAAAGAGCAAATTCAAACTGGACTGTTTGCACACAGTTTCTATATATGTCATATATATCATCTGGAATGAGGAGTAAATTGTGCATCCACATACATCATCAAACTCCTTTCTTACAAAAAAGCAAAGAAAATCCAATTCCACATTATGGGTCCTTTAATCTATTTACTTATGGAGCGGTATATAATTCCAGTGCTGAAGGACCAGTGATCAGCTCAGTTTGGTAATTCCCCTATTTAAACAAACCCACTACACCCGTCAATTAACAGTTTAGTTGAATCATGAGTGTTTGAGCAGGAAAAACACCAAACCGGAGTAGACCGGCCCACTGGGACCAGAGACGAACATCCCTGACGTAAAAGTGTGTATGTCGGTCAATCACAATCACCGGAGTTGCGGAGACCAAGAAGATGATGCTGCTCTGGAGTGACAGCGATGGTTGAAGGTGCCATGGTGTACTTGAAGTACTTCCAAAAATCAAAGATTGCATTAAGGCTGAACAAGGAGCCCAGGGCAAGTTCTGTCAAATACAGTTGCAGTTAAAAGAAGAAACAGATAACATGTCAGTTCTGTCAAATAAAGCTGTAGTTAGAAGAAGAAACATAGACAACATGTTGGGGATATTGCACTGTCATTAGCTTAGCCGTGGTTTAGAGTTCAACCTGAGTTTAAACCTGAAAGACTGACATGGGTTCTCAAACTCTATTGCTGCATCCATGGAAGCTGCAGTTTAAAGCACACCTGCAGTTTAAACTAAACCCGACGGCTGTCATTTAAAAGAACATTACACATCTGCCACTAGACAGTGCTGCACATCGGGTTTAACTAAGCTTTATCTTTAAACTGCTAAAGATATGGTTTTATTGAGATTTAAAGAAAGATTATTATACATGAAGCACATCTTCAGCTCAGATATTTTAATAGTCCATATAAAGCCCATATATTTTCCATCATAATGTTTTGCGGACTTCATGGCATGTTTTAACACTGTAACGTTTAAATAAACACATACTGAGGTTCGACACTCAACTACAGGAAGTGTTAATCATTGCAATCTTGATTAGGATTTTCACAATGTATTGTTCAAAAACACTAAATATTACCTGTGTTTAGGCTATCCTTATTATTGACTTAGAAGGGAAATTTAATCAGACCAAACATTTATTTCTCATTTCCCCACCCCACACACAAGAAAGAAAGAAGGAAGAAAAGAAAAAAATGCACTGGCCAATTTAAAATGATTTTTCGATGCTAACCAGAGTGCATTGCCTGCAATGTCTTCATTATTTTTATGTTGTTTGCCCTCTGGTCTGCAGCCTGATGGCGAGGCAAGCAAACAGTGCAGCAGAGCGCTTGTGGCTCCTTTAAATGGGAGTGGAATGATCAGTTGATCATGATTTAATTTGACAGTACATCCGATTTAGTGGTCAGAGTTTAGTGGTTTTATCAGGTAAATGCGTATTCAATCAGGTGCGTATTGAACCTCTGAAGTTCCCGGTTTAGCCAAACCTGTGTTAAACTGAGACTAAACTGCTGCTAAGCTAGTAACAGTGTGAGTCCTGTCAAATCTAAAAGAGTGAGACAATCTTAATATTTACTTACCAATGTACCAGATTGGCCAGTATGTTATGTTGTAATATCTACTGAGCAGCTTTCCTGACCTGAAAAATATGATTTTGTTGACAAACATCCCCAACATATCACATTATTTATTATTTATTGCTTACATAAGATCTATGACATTCTCTTACATTTCTGTGTAAATCATCCCAGCAAGAGACACATTCAGAACTGCCCAAGCAAGGACAACCTGCCGCTCCTGCTCTTCCCTCCTCATCCTCATCGTCTTGTCGATGAGAGAAGGCATGGCTTCTCTGCTCGGTGTCATGCCTGCCAGAAGTCATACAGTGAGAAGATTCAATAAGAGGATATCCCATCTATACTTAACACGCTTTAAGACTTACAGAAATAGTTCACAGAAAAAAATCCTCTTACATCAAATGTAGTCAAGCAGCAAAGACATGTTTGGTGTATGGTGTTTATTTCTGTAGTTTTCCCATGAAATGTTACAATGCTGATATGATAGAATGAAAGATACGGGCTGTGACAACTGTTAAATTTTAGCTTTAACTTAGTGACTAACACTTGTTGTACTGGTCAATACTGCACTCACACTTACAAAAATCTACAGCTACACAGAATCATGTCCTTCACAAGGGTGAAAAAAGGAAAACACTCATTCTGCCAGCATACATGCTAAAAACATTAGAATTACCTACATATCTAACAAATAAACCAATATTACTCAGCGCTGCCCTCTAAACATGTTAGAGCACCAAGTTTGATTTTTTTTGGGTCTTCATAAGTCACATAATGTCTTAGTGAATGCATTTACTACTTTCATTAATTTACGTTTATTTGCCCAAACTCAAACCATTCGCACTGTGTTTGTTGCAGTATAATATGACTGAAATCTAACGACAAATGACTGTAGTCAACTTAAATAATTGCTATAATCGCAAATAACCGCAATTAGGCGATTCTGTAGTGATTGACAGGGCAGTACATGGCACAAAAGCCGACACAGACTTCATTACTTTTTAGCTACAATAGCCTTGTGGCTGCGGTGCAAAACTTAAGAAACAAACTTCAAGCACCAAACATGTTTTGCTTGATCCACTACTACGACTAAAGGGAAAACTGTGTAAATATGATTTTTGGGTGAAGCATTCCTTTAACGTTTGCCACTTCGTTCCTGATGCTCTATGAGCCAAACCAATTCTATCAAGCGACACACATTTAGTTACAACTAAATTTCACTGATGCATGTCAAAGTTAACGATAATGTTGGACCAACAGTTTTGTAAGATAAATGTTTTTCTCTCACGAAGCTTCCCGGACAGGTTCATCAGCTAATATTTAAATATGCCACCTTTACTTACCTTCCTTAGCCTGCTAACCTAGCTAGCTTATGCTAACGTTATCTCCCTGAGTATTAATGAAAAACTTTAAACTGAAAACATACACGGTGTTTTTTTTAAAGCTAACAGTTCTGCAGACAGTTCAGAAAGACTCCTGCAGGAACACGAAGAGAGCAGGAAAACATACTTTTAGCTCACAATGAGAAGTTCAGGCTTCATCAAGGCGCCAAACTGAGCAGCGTGAACTTAGAAGACCATGGCGCATGCGCAGAACGGACACTAGCTGCAACAGCGTCTTTTTATTTCTTTTCAAAATAAATGTCTTATTAGGCTGTCTCACAACAGCAGGACTCTCAGGTAGCCATATAAGCAAAAGGAAACAGCTGCAGTGGAGGTCAGGCACATTCCCGTTTATAAATCATCATTTTTGGTTTAAGTTGTTACTTTAATGAGGGCATGGAGCTGTGTGTTCTTTAACACGAGTTTCTCTGGTTCTTTCTACAGTATCTGTTAGTATTATACTTATGTCTTAATCTGAATTGATGTCAGTAAAATATTACTTGTTTGTACACCAAACAGAAGTTCTAAAAAAAGTACTAATGGTCTGCTGACAGTTCATATTTATCTGTTTAGCCAAAGCCATTATCCACTGTGAAGACACTAAATACAAGAAACTTGCTATGTGTTAAGACATGCTTCATATCAGTTGATTTCTGGCATCCTACAGATGTTTTTCATCTTTCCTCTCGAAAGATACTCTCATATTGAAAAGACTGCAATGAGGAAGTCACAGCCAAATCTCAACAGACAGAAATGACTTTTGCATATATTAACCAGTCTGTGAGAAAAGCTTACAAACGTCTGCATCACTGTAAGGGCCAGAAACAAGGTTCCACAGGAAGACCCGCTCACAATTTACTCCACACTGATTAGGCCATGTTTGGAATATGCTGGTGTGTTATTTGTGGGTTGTACAAAAAATAAGATCTTGCCTTAGAATGTGTCCAGAAAAGGCCTGTCGATATTACGGCAAAATCTGATTTTAAAATTGGTAATCTGTCCTTCCTAAACTGCAGTCAAGACGACAAAAAGCGACTGTAAAACTTAGAAATTACATGTTTGCATTCAACCATTCTTTGAATTACTCTCTAATGATTTAATCACTAAACTGGGACGAAAGTTTAATACTTCTCTTATTTTCTTAGTTCACAAAATCGCAGATTGTGAAAAATACTTCTTTGTGATCCTGCTAGAGACATAGGCACACTTCACACCAATTAAGTATAACTCCTCCAGAACATTGTGACCAACAGGAAAATAATGTCAGTACATATTTGCCATATCTAAGCAAAGTTTCTGACTTTCTATTTACCAGACAGCAGAATTTAAAGGAACGCTTTGAGTAGCAAAGTGTCCTTATACATCTCTGATCTTGTTCAAACCTCATTCTGGTCTCACACAGGTTTTCTGAAACACATTGTGTGATTAATTGTGCCTTCTCTGCTTGGTATGTCAGGGCTTATGCAGCAGCTATTGAGTGTACTATTTTAAGAAGTTTATCTTAAGTTATCACGTTATCTTAAGTTATCACGTTATCTGTTTATTTGTGCATCATGTTAGTTCCCTCCCCCCAGTGCAACTTTTGTTTTATTTTGTCTTCTCCCTTTACTTACAGGTGTGTTCGTGAATAGCAACAAAGAAAAAAGCAGAATAAAATGTATATTACTGTGTCACGAAAAAAAGGAAAAAATGAGGTAAATTTATCACAGTATAGATACCGTATCTGTTCAGTTGCATTCACAGAGTGCAAAATGGTAATGCAGTATTGTGTAGGCGGCGACACAATGAGTATGTGTTTTAAAAAATGATTCAATTAACGTATTATTACAATGTGTAAGTGTTACATGAACTGTTTTACAGTACGCCTACGTGACCAGTCATTTTGCTTGATTGATAGCCATGTGGCTCCACATGCTAGTCAGCTCTACTGATGTATTTAGTGAAGCCATATCAGACAAAATCACCAGAACCCCCCAAAAAATATCCGATTCGGACGTAGGCAGCAAAGGCATCCTTCTAGCTAAAACACGTTTCGGGCCTTTTATTTTTCTGCTCTGCTCTCTGAAACTTTTGCGTTGAAATGTGGCCGAACTACACGTTCAATTGTGGTCACGTGATTGTGAGAAAACCCCGCCCTCCCGGAACTGACCACCAACTGCGACAGAAGGTGAGTGTTTATGACCTGCCGAGAGGCTTCGCGGTGCGTAAGGAGCGTTTCTGACCAGATTACTGTTATTTTAGACACATAAATCCACTACATTTCATTTCAGTCGGTTTATCCACAGCGTTTCTGACCAGATTACTGTTATTTTAGACACATAAATCCACTACATTTCATTTCAGTCGGTTTATCCACAGCGTTTCTGGTAGGCTAACCTAAAACACAGCGGACGGTTTGGAGACGAATTCGTGCCAAATTCAAAAATCAGTCACTACAGTGGAAAAACACTGACATGGAGAATTCGAGCCAAACTGAAAAACAAACCGTCTGTTACATCGTTTTAATGTCACTTTATCTCTTTACTAAAAACACTACTTGAGAATTTGGATTTTAAAAACGAAACGCTGAATTCATGTCAGTATTGAATACAGTCCCACGTTTTATGTATATTATATTGCTTTCCAACAGCGCAGTACTTTAAACGGATCATCCTCATTGAAATGCAGTCATAACACTAAACAGTGCACACATGACATTGCTTTTCCACATGTGACATAGAGAATACATGCCAAAAAGAAAAACAAACCCTCTGTTGCATTGTTTTCACGGTTTTTTGTCCTTCAAATGTGTTTGCCTCGTTGAAATGCAACCAAAACAGTGAAATGCAACGCACACATAAGATGGCTTTTGAACAGTAACATGCAGAAAAACAAAATTGCTCAAATGAAAAATAAAATATCCATTACATTGACTTAACATTGTTTTAAGTACTGCACAGTGGAAAGCAATACAGCCACACCTTCGTCACATTTGAAGGCGGATTGTATTCAAATCTGAATGAATTTAGCATTTTGATTTTAAAATCCAAATCCTCATGCAGTGTTTTTCAGTAAAGATATCAGTCAACGTAAAAACAATGTAATAGAGGGGTTGTTTTTCATTTTGGTGCATATTCTGCATGTGACTATGGAAAAGTAATGTCATGTGCATTGCATTTCACATGTTTACACTGTAGTGATTGCTTTTCACTTTGGCACAAATTCCCCTACGTAGGAAGATCACCAACCAGGCCGAGTGTGTAATAAACTGTGAAGCAAGGATGCCAAGAGAATGATTTGTTTTTTGTTGGGTTTTGTCTTAATTCCTTAAGATAACCAGAAGACCAGTTAGTGTCTAGGAAAAGTGGAAAGAAGATGAGCAACCCACTGAGGGGAGAAGTTGTCAGATTGTACAAAAATGTGAGAAAACTTGCTTTTACTGTTCTTCATTTTTATGTGCATGGCATATACATACATATATATATATATATATATAGTAATACAGTAATACAGTAAAAAATGCAATGTTGTTATAAGCAACATTAATAGGTTCACATTGTTTTGTACTTCAAAGCTTCTCTATCTTGGAAGAGAATATCCAAAAGGCACTGTATACTTCAGAGAGCGCTTAAAAGTGGCTTTTATGAAGAACAAAGATGTTACAGACCCTGAGAAGATCCAAAAGCTGATTGATCGAGGGGAATTTGTCATTAAAGAACTCGAGGCCCTCTATTTTCTTAGAAAGTACAGAGCCATGAAGAAACGCTATTATGACCCAGAGCACTGATGCCCTTATACCTACACGTCCAGCAAATGGGATGAATGAGAAAAACACACTTCCTTAAGACGCTGTGACTGGCCATTTTTCCATTCTGAAGAAGAATGGAATCCAGGGGGGACGGTGCAGCATTAATGTGCCAGTGTTACAGTTCTGATTGTATTTTTATGTTATGTACAGTGTGACATGTAGTGTGTGTTTCTATTGTATAGAAGTGGCCGATCAAGTCTTGTTATATTTTGGGTGGTAAGCCAAATAAAATTTCAGTGATCCATATCATTTGTTGGCACCATTTTAATGCACATCACTGTCAAAACAGATGTTACAATCTGACATATTGCTATTTTACTCCAGCTGGCTGCTGTTTTGTTAGCTATGCTATCTGTCTTGTAAATAACTGACATGTACCTGTGGTTGATGTTGGACAGCATACATACAGAAATAAAAGCATATTTTAGTAATATCTCTTGTCCAGTTGAATGTGCAAGGCATTTTGTTATCATTACAGAGCTGTTTCAGCCAAGTCTCAGCTGAAATAGTGAAAACAGTGTCATTTATTACATAATGATGGGTTAGTTTCAGTAAAAAAACAAAACAAGTGCATTACAAATTTACACTTACATTTTGCTTTATTATACTGCAGATCTTGTAGATGGTTAAATCTGTCTTCAGGCACAAAATGAATGTAGGAAATGTGAATGAATGTGTGGTGTATTAAATGCATTATGTGACTGCTAATATACCTTATGCATATTCCATCACGTCATGTGCTCTTTATTGTGATTCCTTAATATATCTTGTTTGCACAGGAATGAAATCTTTCTTTAGGTCCCATGGTGTAGCACATAATAGCAGCTCTTTACAAAGACCATATAAAGACCAGATACATGACAACGACAATAAATATACAGAATAATAAATACTAGGCAGGCTGAAAAAAACAATATATATGAATGGGCATCATATATATATATATATATATATATATAGTAGATTAGTACTGGACCACAGACACCACTCCAACTCATTTCAATGGTATTAGATGCTCCATCACACCAGAGAACGCAGTTCCACTGTTCCACAGCACAACATTGGGGGGGCTTTTTACTGCTAATGCTTGGCATTGAGCATAGTCACCTATGCTCAACCTTTCAGTGTCCCGTTTCTGCCAGTGCTTTTCTATAGAGACTCTACAAGCTGCATGTGCACAGTTGAACAGCTGTGCCAGCAGTGGGTGCTGAATTCAAGTAGTATTTAACCTTCAACTAGCTGAATTCATTCATTAAAGGGGGGTGACTGGATTCTTTTGAGCTTATAGTGTGTCTTATCTTGTCTTTAGCAACCGCCATTCTTTTTAACAGAATCAAGAAAATACTGAACACAGAAAAATAGCCCAGAGGTATCAAGTTCATGTACTGAAGACCTTGGAATTGTAAGGGATGCAATTTATATTTTGGCATGGAACAGAGATTTGTGGTAAATTCATCTTATAGTCTCCCATGGGTTAAGTCAGCTACCCACTCACACAGCAAGAGCACAAAATGGACAATAATGGCCAGGAACCCTGTCATTGTGACGACCACTAGAACAGCCACCAGATAAACTTATCAGATCATACAGCGGTTCAAACTCCAACAGGTGCCCTGAACTAAATTACATACTACATCATACCATGATGTTTCCACTCACTCATGTCTGGATTATTGCAATCTAATTTATTGTAGTCCATTCTTGAGCGCACAACTGCCGGAGAAAGAATATCAGCACATATCTAAGCAAGACTTCACAGGTTCTACATAGACCAGATAGAAGATTTGTGTATATATGTATGTATATATCTTATACTATATTACTATATTCTTTTCATCTGAGGAATTCATAGGAAATTGCACCTCTTGTAATATAAAAGTTGCTGAATTCCAAAAAGAGGAAAAAACACAAGAATATTACAGTATGTATACTGTATCTGTTCAGTCTTTCGCACAGTGTGCAAATGGTAAAGATTGTTTTGCATGCAACCCAGGTTAATACCCAGGTTGTGCCCCGTGGATCTCCAGTGTTGACTCCAGTGGTAATTGTCAGGCAGTACAAAGGCACAATGTAGAGATAATCAATATCACAAAACTTATAGTTTTATTTTTTTATTTAAACAATAAAAATATTAATATTTTTCTTATCCATTCAATTGAATTGCTTGCTCAGACTAAGAATATTAATTAATTAAAGTGTTTAAATGTTTATCATATAACAATATGTCAGAACTGATCAAACACCAAAAGGCATCATTTTTACCACAAACACTTTCAAGCACATCTGACCCTTTTTCTGCACCCAGAATCTTTACCACACAGGAGAGTTAGAGCTGTAGCTTAGCACTTAAAAGGGGCAGTAAACTTGTTTGTTTGGTAGTGACTTTGGCTCTTGGCTCAGATCATCAATAAGAGCCAGCTCTTAATTCAGTAGTATTGTCAGTTTTTAGCCAAGGCAATGATATTATCTATCAGTTAATTTTCAGTAAAACCTTAGTCCGCCTTCTAATTACCAAAAGTTGCATTATGTTTGTTACTCAAAAAAATAAAATAAGTCAGATGTTGTTTAACTGGATGAAAAAGGCAGCACATCCATCAATCAGTCATCAACAAAGGGAGATAAAAGTCAGAAATCAGAAGAGCTAATGAGGCACACTTGGAAACACACTTGGGAATGGCAGATTTACATCAGCATGATAGACTGAATGAAAGAAAGATGAGCTTGGTTCACTTCAGTAAACTGGAGAATTCTATGCAAGAGCTCTGTGGGCCTGAATTTTTGTGATATCTAGTTCAACATCACAGAATGCCAGGTTGGTTTCACCAGATTTCTTCTCTTTTTCCCCAACCAGGTCCAGTTTATCTGCATTGGCCTGAAAGCAAAGACATATTATGCACAATTTTTTAAAAGAAAGATTATTTTAGAACATTCAAAAACACACTTACCCTTCGCTTTAGTATCTTGTAAAGCTTGTAGCAGGTTAAATCCTCCTTTATTACAGTCAGTCCTGGTTCCAGTTTTAGTGGCCTGCCTCCTATGAATGCAAAAAAGAAAAAAATGCTAGACTATTTTCTAAATACTAAAAGAAAAACTTGCTCTGTCTGGTTACGTAAAAAAATAAAAGTAATTTTTACCTGAGAGCAAACTTACAATCAGCCCCACAACTATGGCAACTAATGTCCCCATAGGACAGAAATACAGGTAAGACAGGGAGTACCAATTATCAGCCAGGAATGGCCTGCGAAAGCAAAAAAAAAAAATGTAGGTGTCAGTGTCATCAGAAAAGATTCTGACAGAAGTTACAGTCAAAGCAAATCTTTATTAAGGAACCACCTGTCCAGGGATTGTTCCTGCTGGTCAGAGGCGATGTGGTCTGTCTGTGTAGAGTAAGTCCAGTTCAGTAAGGCATTCTCAGCCATGCTGAAGTTGCAGTCATGTGTTTCCAGAGCAAGTGGTCTGGTACTTTCAGGGAGAGGGTGATAGATCTGGGATCCAATACACACCCAGAGTGACATGGCTAGCCCAGTGACCAGGCCAGCCAATCCTCCCTGCAATTAAACTGAATATAAATAATGACACCTCGCTGGTCTTCATATGTCCAGAAAGCTACTCTTCTCCTGGTCTAAAACCTCTCTCTCAAATCCTTGGCTCTATGTAGCAGCAAATATAAAACTCTAATATGTGCTTTTTGAGCCTCAAAGGGCAGAATTCAGACCCCGGCACACTAACATTGGTGACCTCCAGGAATCCACTTTGCTAGAAAGTTCCTGTTTGCTAAATGTAAATATAAGAGCATCCAACATATGAGTGAGACAATATTTATCCAACTGACCTTGGAATTAGCGCAGGGGAACAGGATGCCTAAAGTGAAGAGGCCAAGAAGTGGTCCACCAATGGTGCCAACAATACTGATAGCTGCCTATAAAGAAAGACACACACAAATAACAGTTATTTGCTTATTTGTTTCAACATTAAGTGGACATACAGCGATCAGAAAAACTCCAAATCCAAACTAGATTATAGCATTTGCGTCTGACTGAAAGTGACCAACCTGTAGCAACCCTCCCATCAGTGATGCAAGGCCAGCCATCCCAATGCACACTGCTCCATAGAAAATACCTGGGATCAGATATACGACATTACAAATAGGTGTTGTCTAACACAAGCTCCATGACACTTTCTTATAGCTATTTTGTTCACACTCACTCAGTCCCTTTGATGCCCAGGAGAGCTGTTGCTCTGACAAGCTGAAGTATGGCCTTATCAGGTCTGCAACCGTCACTGCTGCTAATGCATTCACGCTGGAGGACACTGTGCTGTAGCATTCAGTGGAACAAATAATAGCAAATGCATATCAGTAACACTGTTGAATTTTTTAAAGGTGCTGGTCTAATTGCATAGACCGAAAAGAGCTTATTAAGATCTGACCTCAAAGTGCCACTGTAGGCCGCAGCCACAAACAAGCCAGGAAGACCTGGGTAATCCCTCAAGATATCCAGCACCAGGTATGGCATCAGCTTCAAACCAAAAATGAATAGTTAATGGAAAAGTAAGGGTATGCATGGTGTATTACATCCACTCAGAGACAGTTACGAGACCATTAATCATAGTCCATCATATCAAATATGACCTTGCCGGACAATAATTATACAGTAATTGTGGAACTTTGCAAACCTTTTCGCAAACATCTTACCTGGTCTTGGGCAGACACCTTTTTAGCCATCCATGGATCACAGTTCTTATAAACTGAGTACAAACACAGTCCACAAAACACTGAACACAGATTAATAGCCCAGAGAGACAGCAAGTTCACATACAGAGACCTAGAAGGAAATATAGACATTGTTAATTTAAGGTGCATCTGTTTTGTTCCCATGACAATTGCAGACTTTTGCAAAAAGAATGTGCAGTACTCACATTTTGGCATGAAACAAGGACCTGCAGGACACATATCTTTGCACCTGAGCTTGGTTAATACCATAAGCGCTGGTCCAGATGAATGTACCTCCGATTAGGAGGGTCCAGAATGTGTGCCTCCTCAGTGGGTTAGGATCAAAGCTGAGAAGGAGAAGTAAAAAGGGCTAAGACTCCATCAGAAGTTATGGTGTTCAGACAGCTTTCTGTTGTATCGTAACTCACTCCCACAGGTTGATTCGGCCACCCTGGGCGGAGTCGCTGATTATAACAGAGACCCCACCCTGCACCAGCACAGCCTGGATGATGACAGCCAGGAACCCAGTCAGCATGATGAGCACCTGGAACACGTCGGTCCACACCACTGCCTTCAGACCACCCTACCAGAGCATGGAAGCAGATACGTTATGAAATACTCGTTTTTGTTACAAAAATCAATTTTACCCCTATTTTTCTCTTGCTGATTAGCCAAGACGTGTTTGATTTCTGAAGTTTGTTTCTTCAGTTTTGACTGCCAAGTG